CTGCCCAGCAGAAAGCCCCTCACCCCAAACTAAGATCTGAGACCCCCTCCCCTTACATTCCCCATATCGTCTTGTGACACCCCCAATCTGTTTCCACTGGTCCTGGTGTAGATGTATCCGTTGCATCTGTGGATTGGGGTCCTTCCAGCCTGAAACGAGGGGTCCCGCCGAGGGTGGGGGGTTGGGGACGGCAGGTCCATCCCAGGTGGAACAGGATCCCACGGCCACCCCTGGAGAGACGGATGGCCCACGGTTAGAAGCCCCGTGGCGCAGGCGGCCGCGGGAGGGGGGTGGGCGAACGTGGCATCCGGGCGCAGCCGCCAGTCCGCCCCTCTGGGCTCGCACGTTCCTTTTTTAAAATCACCGCAATTTCCACCAAGGTTCCTCCCAGCGCGCCGCCTGCCACGTGGGCCGGCCCGGGCACCCCCCTCCGTCCCGTCCCTGTCTGCGGGGCTGCCTCCAGGGCCCTCCGGGGCCCGGCTGGTGGCAGCTTCAGTTTCACTTTGGAATCTCTGGTTTCACTTTCGGGGGGGGTGGGGTGGGGAGGGAGAGACCCAGCAAGGAGGGAAGCTGGGGGTGGGGGGGTACGTGGGTCAGGTGCACCCTCCACCCCGTTCCCCGGCGCGCCGCCCCGGGGTTCTGACCTCCTCTGCAGCCTAAGCAGCAGCAGCAAGTGGGGGGAGAAGGGGGGCAAAACGCATGCCTCAAGGTCAAGGGGTGAAGGTCAAGTTCTCCCGATGATGCCCTTGAGTCTCCGCCGGGTCCCGGGCTCCCCCGTCGCCCCCACCCCTCCCACTGGGTCCCCAAGGGAGGGGGCGGGGCCGCGCCTTAGCAGAACAGGATGTCGGTGGCCTTTCCCCGGCCAGGGGACCCTTGACCCAGAATCTAGCAGGAAGGCGGAGCCGCAGGGGCCCGGGTGCGGGGTCTGGGGCGGGGCCGCGGCCTTGCACTGGGCGGCTGGGGCGGGGCTGTGGGCGGGGCCTCTCCCGCCGAGGCGGGCAGGTGGGCGGGGCCGCTCTTAGCCACGCCCCGGCCCTTCCTGCAGGCTGGGGTCGCTCCGCGCCCCCTCCCCACCGCGGGCTGGAATAGGTACCCCCTGTGTTCTAGGCCTGGTGGAGGCCTGGGGTCACTCCCCCCACCGCCGGGCCCGGCCGCTGCGCGCTCAGGATGGAAGAAGGAAGGACGGTTTGCTGGGTTTGATAAGGCTTTTTATTGAGGGTGTAATTCAGGCTGGGCGCGAGCACCTTCCCTCCCCTCCCCACCCGCCCGCCCAGTCCACCCTGTGCAAGCTGTAGTTCTAGAACATTCCAGCAGCCCTGCAGGAAGCTGGGTCTCTCTCCCCATCAGCACTCCGCCCCGGGCGCTGCTGCCCCAGCCCCTGGCACCGCCACTCACTTCCTGTTCTGGACCTTTCCGTCTCCCCAGGGATCCCACCAGAGAGGTGGCAGCCGCGGCGGGGACAGCCTGGTCCTCTCCCTGCTGGTATCCCCAGTACCAGTTACCCTTTTCAGCCCCAAGGAGGGCTGTGTACTCCGTGAGGGGCACCTGAGCAGTCGGAAGCGGGGAAGCCCGCTCGGACAGGTGTGAGAGCCACCCCCAGCAGGTGTGGACCGCCGCCAATCCGTGGGCGCGGGCCCCCGCGTTTTCTGGGGCATAAGCACCCCGAAAATGCACGGAGAAGGAGCCACCCCCACTCCCGGGGCTCCTCGGGGATCTTGATGGATTTGGGGCGAGGAGATCGCCCTCCTCAGGCAGGGTAGAGTCCACCGGGAAGAACGGGGCGGATAATGGGGGGGCGCTGTACTTCCTCTCCCAGGCCCGGGAACAGGGGCCCAGGTTGGGATCGCAGCCCGTGGAAAGTGATCCCTCCCCTTTAATGCGGCTGCCCAGGGGCCAGAGGAGGGGGGGGCAGGGTAGGGGCGGACGAGGGAGAAGGGATGGGTGGGGAAGGCGGGGGCAGGGCCCAGAGATAGATGGAACAGTGGGGAGGGCTGCCTTAGATCAAGTTAGCCTGGGTTCGATCCCCAGCACCCCAGAGGGTCCCCCCCTCCCTGGCCCAACTCCACCAGGAGTAATTCCCGAGGGCAGAGCCAGAAGTAACCCCTGAGCATCACCGGGTGTGACCCCAAACAAACAAAAAATAACAAAAAATTTTAAAAAGTAAAACAGAGAAGGGAGGGAGAGAAGGGGAGAAGGGGCGGGGGGGAAATGGGGGTGGCTTCTGGTCACAGGTGGGCAGACTGTGACCTAACCACACCCGTGCAGGGCTGCTGGGCCTGTAGTCCCCAGGCCAGGGGAGGGGGAACACCCAATGTCCCATTCCAGTCACCTGCTGCCACTTGCTGGGTGAAGGGGGCCTTCATGCCCCTCAACACCCCCCCCCCCACCGCAGCCCAGAAGGGCTCTGCACCTCTCCCACCAGGGTCCCATCTGGGGGTCTGAGAGGGGCGACAGTGGGAAGGCACTGGGATTTGATGGGGACCCAAAGCCGAACCCTACCTGGGTGTCCCACCAGCCTTGGGGGGGAGTGTCTTGTTTTCTCCCAGAGAAAATAGCAAACCCAGGTGTTGAATTTCCTTGAGGTTGAACAATTTATTCTTTCATTTAGTTCAATTCATTTTATTTTGGGTCACACCCGGCGATGCTCAGAGGTTACTCCCAGCTTTGCACTCAGCAATCACTCTTGGTGGAGCTGGTGGGGTGGGGTGGGCGGCGGAGAACCCTATGGGACATTGGGGTTTGAGCCTGGGTCAGTCAAGTGTAAGGCAAACACCTCCTCACTGTACTATCACTCTGGTCTCTTTTTCTTTCTTTCTTTCTTTTAATTCCCAAGCAGCGCTCTGAGGGCACAGGGGTTACTCCCCGTGCTTGACCAACTTGGCTGGATGGTTCAATGGTTAGGCCTGTCCATACTCAGGGTCAGCAGAGCCAGACCCAGTGGTGCTCAGGGGGCCTGGGAGGAGCCAGGGATCAAACTTGGGGACTTGCCTCTGCTTCTCCTTAGATGTGTCTGGTCCTTAATGAATTTATTTTGGTTTTTGGGCCAGCAATGTTCCTGGCTTACTACTCCTGGCTCTGCACTCAGGAACTACTCCTGGCAATGCTCGGGGCAAGCCATGGGATGCCCTGGATCGGACCCTGGTTGGCGACATGCAAGGCTGGTGCCCTCCCTGCTGTCCTATCGCTCCAGCCCCTGACCTGTTTGGTCCTTAGATCTCCCTGTCTTGGGACTGGAGCGACAGCACAGCGGGCAGGGCGTTTGCCTTGCACGCGGCCGACCCATGTTCGATTCCCAGCATCCCGTATGGTCCCCCGAGCACAGCCAGGAGTAATTCCTGAGTGCAGAGCCAGGAGCAACCCCTGTGCAACACCGGGTGTGACCCCTCCCCCCAAAAAGAAGCCACAGCTGATGCTGCTCAGGGCTTCTGGCTCTGCTCAGGCATCGCTGCTGGGGGTGCTGGGGTGCAGCCTAGGCTGGCTGTGTGGTGTGCAAGGCAAGTGCCTTCCCCCCTACTCTCTTGGGCTTTTCCACCTCAGCCTGCACTCCCCCCCAAAAAATGAAACAGCCCTTCCAGAAATCTCATTTCTTTTGTGAGTGCCTGGGAATTGAGGTGAAGTAACATTTCTGGAGCCGGAGAGAGCACGAGGTCGAGGTGTTTGTCTTGGCCGTGGCACACCCCGCCTGCATGGTCCCAGGAGCACTGATAGGAATGAGGCCCTGAGCACAGAGCTGGGAGTAGCACCGAGCATTTCTGGCGCGGCCCCCGAAACAAACCAAAGAAAACTGGCCCCGCCAGGAGGGATCCCTGGCAGGGAGCCAGAGGTAAGGCAACTGGGGGTGGTCCCCAAAACCAAACCAAACCTTGGGGCCGAGGTACAGTGGGGAGGGTGCTTGCCTTGCATGCAGATGAACTGGGTCTGATCCCCAGCACCCCATCAGACCCCCCAGGTATCACCAGGAGTGATCCCTGAGTGCAGAGCCAGGAGTAACCCCTGAGTGTTGCTGGGTGTCACCCACCCCCCCCTTAAAACCCTGAATCCCTGACTAGACACCCCCACTGCGGGAGGGTGTCAGAGGCCCCCTTCCTACCCGAATATCAGGGGACCCCGGTTTGAGACTGGTGGGGGAAAGCCTGGCCTTGGGGCAGGGACACCTTACCCCAGGGCACCAGGAGAGGGTGGTCTGGTCTGAGGGTGTCTACAGGGACTTTGGGACTCTCGGTAGGGTCCATGTGGCTGTCCCTGAAGCATTGCAGACAGCAGGAGACAGTGGTGAGGCGTGGGCTCTCTGTGATTGCTGGGGGGCGCCCCAGGGCCTCCTGCATAGAGCCTGCAGGGCGGGGCGGAGCGGGGCGAGACTTGGTGAAGGGCGCAGGGCGCAGCGTGGCAAGATGCTGAGTCATGGGTCTGGCGAGCCCTCCGCGAGTGAGGCCGCAGGATTCCCCCACCCAGCCCCTCAATTCTACTTGTCATGCTTTTTATAAATTTCTTTTCTGGGCGCAGGGGTGTCTGGAAGTGGGACCCCAAGAGACCCCGAAACTGTCCTAAAGGGCTGTCACTCAACACGTTTCCTGCACACAGGAAAACCAGGGACTACCTTCCCTGGGGGGCTGCTGGTGTGTGTGTGTGGGGGGGGTATCAGTCAGTGAGCCCTCAGGAAGTGCTGTGGGGGGGAGGGCTCTGAGGTGGCCTTACTGGATGGTGGAAAGGCTGGACATGGGGAAAGGTGTCTCTCGGCACTGGTGCTACTTGGGGTCCAGTCAGAGGGTCACGGGAGTGGGGGGTGCCCTCTGGCCTTGTCTTACAGCACCCAGAGGACCACAGTGTCCAGGAAGGGGGAAATGCGAAGTTCCATGGGTGGCCCCCTGTAGGAGTCCCCCAGCACACACACACATGAGTGACCCCCTAGAGGAGGCCCCCCAACACACACGAGAGAAAGAATCGCCAAAAGGCCACACGTTGCTTTTTTCTCTCCCTGTTTGGTTTTGGGTTTCTGAGGCCACAGAGGCGCACCCCCCCAGGAGCCCAGGCAGGAGAGGCACGTGTCCGGGGGTCCAGCGGTGGAGGGGGGTCCGTGGGGCATCGTCACACGGCGGTGCGGGTGGGCGTGCTGGGTTGGTTCAGCCGCAGTGTCCGGCAGAGCCAACCGGCAAAGTCCACCTCTTCCACCTCGGAGCGTTTGATGAAAGCATGGTTCTGGGGACAAGAGGCCAGAGTGAAGGTCCCCCAGAGCTACCGAGGGGGGACAGGCCTCCTGTCAGGGTACAGGTAACCTGGTCCCCAGTAAGGCGGTCTCAGGAAAAGGGCGCAAATCTCCAGGAAGGATGGACAGTGGCCCCAACTGGGCCTGGCCCAAGGGGGGAGGGGTGTGTGGACATGGGGCCCCGCTGACAGAGGGGTGCAGACATGTCCAGGGAGAACCGAGTCGGCAAGACCCCAATGATGGTGAGGGGTCACTTGCTGTCTGGGCACTGGGGCGGGGTGAGTGGGCCTGGGTAGCTTTCCGCGTGTGGGGGTCCCAGCAACCTGCAGGTTGATGCCCAGACATCTTGGGGGGTCTGTGTGGGGGGGGTGGGTGCAAGGGGGCTGGGGCACCCATATCTTCCAGCCCAGCACCCCTTGCTCACTCACCATGAGCATCTTCAGGTCTGCTCGTTCCGCTGGGTTCTTGATTAGACTGTGGGGGGTTCAGGTGGGGAGGGATGTGGAGGGACCGCGGGGAGGGGGGGGGGAGACAAGACAGGCTGTGAGCAGTGGGGTGGGCACAATGGGGTCCTGAGTCCAGAGCCCAGCCCATTCCTGACCTTTGGAAATCTATGAGGCTGATATTGGGAAATTAACTGTTTTGGAGGGCCCAGGGGGGAATCTCCAATAGCAGCTGGCTGGGACCTGGGGACCGGCTGGAATGGCAGGGAAGGCAAAGGTTCTGGGAATCAGACTCGGGGTCTCGTGCACACCGGGCCAGCGGCCCAGCGCCTTTAGCATGTCTTAGCCCCAAGGATGTGGACCTGCGGAGAGGGTGGGGCTCCATCCCCAGGACCACATGGGGTCTCCGAGCCCCTCCCGGAGTGATTCCCGAGCAGTCGGGTATGGCCCCGAAACCCAAACAAAAGCAGCAAAACTCAAGAAATGATCAGAGCATGCCTGGACGTGCCAGGAACTGCCAGGGGGAATTGGGCCACTCCGGGCAGTGCCGGGGGTCGAACCGGGCCAGCTCGTGCAAGGCCAGCACCCGGGTTTCTCGTACAAGCCAGGGCGTGCTAATGGGCCCTCTGAGCAGGGTCCTGTCCTGCACGGTCTTGTGGTCACATCCCCCCCAACCCCACTGCACCCCTCACGGAGCACGGCTGCATTCCCAGGAAGCTGTGGGGGTCACAGGGCTAGCGCGGGCTCGGGACAGGTCCTGGACACAGCAGCACATGGGCCAGCGCGGGGTGGGGGTGGAGCAACCCGCCAAGCCGAGGGTGCCCCACGCGGCTCCCCTGCACCTCTTACCATTTATTTACAAACTCCTGGAAATCCTGTGTGAAAACACCAGTGGGCAGCTTGGGTGGTGGCTGTGGGGAGGGAGGGCAAGTGGTCAGGGCTGAGGAGGGTCTGGAGCCCAGGTGCGGGAGGTCAGGCGGAGGCCGGGTTCCTGGGGACGCCCACCCCACAGGCAGGTGTGAAGAGTGGGGGGCAGGGCCGGGGTTTCCCGACCCACCTCATTCACAATATAGTCCAGCAGCTCGAAGATGGCCATGGCCGGCCGGCTGTCCATGCCGTGCCCTGCGGGAGACGCGGGTGAGAGGCGTGTGTCCGCCCCCCCACTTCCCAGCATGGTGCTCCAAGCGGGTAGCGCCTGGCAGAGAAGCCGCGAGAGGGCCCTCCCCTCCTTGGGGGTGGGGGGAACCCAGACAAGGGCAGCCCGTGACCTTGGTGGGGCGGCCAGCGGGGCGAGCCACTGACCCCTGCCCTACACCCGCTGGCCAGGCCCCGGTTGGCAGCTGGACTTTCGCCTCCTGTCCCCCCGCCTGACATGGGCACAGCGGGGGAATGGGAGGGGCCAGGGTGGCAAATGGAGGCACCCAGCAGACGGGCTGCGCCCCTGGGAACACACGGGTCTGGGCATGAGGGAACGGCAAAGCAGTGTCAGAGAGCAGGCGTAAAGGGACACACACACACACACACACACACACACACAGAACTACACAGGCACACTATACAAATAGGAACACAAAGACACACACACACAGGCACATGCTATACACACAAACACAGACACACACTATACACACAAATACACACACAGGCACAGACATAAACATAACTACACAAGCAGAAACTATAAACACACAAACACACAGATACGACACACATAACTACAGACAAATATGCACTCAACTATATATACCCTGCACAAACACACAACCACACGCACAGGGACCCAGCGTGCCCTTAGCCGGAAGGGCTGGGCTGCTCTGAAACCCCTTGGGCGCCCGTCCCTGAACAGACCAGACCCCAGGGGGGCCCCCCAGGGCCGGAACATCCAAACGGGACCTGTCTGCAGACAGGAAGATGGTTTGTGGGCACTGCTGAAGGGGCTGGGCTTTCTGGGGTGACAGAATGTTCTGGAAGGAGACGGTCTGCCGCTCACATCCCGGCCGCCGGGCTTCCATCTCACGTAACCCTCTTCCTGCCAATCCACCTGAGCTGCCTGGTGCCTGCGTGGGGCTGCCACGTCACCGGCCCCACTGACCTGCTCGCGACCCCCAAAGGGGTCGAGTGTCAGCCAGAGTCGCTCCGGGACAGGACTGTCTGAAGGGGCGGGGGTGGCAGGGGTGTGAAGCCAAGAAGCCACATGAGGACATTCTGAGTCACATTTGCCACAGCGCTGCACCGCCCCCCAGCCCCCTGCAGGATGCCAAGGCCCAGACAGCACGGCGGGCACGGGGGAGTGGGCAGGGGGCACGGGCTGCCTGCAGCAGGGCGCAGGGGGGAGTGTTCACAACCCTCCAGCTGGCAGCAACAGGTGGTCCGTCCCCCCAGCAGCCTGGGGACCGTCTGAGCTCAGCCGACCCCGGCCAGCTCAGCCCAGCCGGTGGGTGGGGGGGGGGGCTGGGAGAAACAGGTGGGCCGAGGGGAGCCGGACGCGGGGCGGCAGCTGCATTCCCAGGCGGGGCTTTCGGGGGATGGGAAGACACGCGTGGCCGCCCCCAGGGGCCGTACCGCTGATGGGGCGCCCGGGGGGCCGCGGCCGGGGCGACACGCTGTGGGGCTCGCCCTCGGCGCCGTCCCCCACGGGCCGGCCGAAGATGGCCTCCAGCTCCTTGGCGTCGGGCGGGGGGATGGGGTAGCGGCCGATGGACAGCTCCACGAGGGACAGGCCCATGCTCCAGATGTCCGACTGGACTGAATAGTGGGTGCCCTGCAGACGCTCGGGCTGCAGAAAGAGACAGGGCGGGTGGAGGCGCAGCTGGCGGGAGCACCCTGCCCCCCACCCCCGCGTCCCGGCCCGGGGGATGGGGGGGTTGGGGGGTGGGGGGAACTCACCGACATGTAGGACCGCGTCCCCACGAACGAGTTGGCCATGGAGTCAATGAGCTGCCCGCTCACCCCAAAGTCGCACAGCTTGATCTCCCCCCTGGAGTTGACCAGGATGTTGGACGGCTTCACATCTGGGGGCGCGGATGACGATCCCGGGGTGAGAGGCTGCCTCGATGGGGACCCCCACCCTCTCCCCGCCCCCGGGGCGCTCCCGCCCCTCACCTCGGTGCATGATCTGGTGCTTCTCCCGGAGGTAGGCCAAGCCCCGAAGGACCTGAGGGGGCAGGGAAGGGGCAGGATGAGCAGGGTGTGGGCAGGAGCCTGCCTCTCCCAGGGCAGGGCCCCTGGGTGTCACAGGCTGTCACTGGTGTCTCCACAGGGCACCCCACCCCACCCAGGGGCAAGCCTGCCCCCAGGAACAGGTTGGGGGGGACTCATCCCCTCAGAGGCCTTGGGGCACCCCCAAGCCTGACGCCCCATCCGCGGGCGGCCCGAGCTGCAGCAGCGTGGTGGGGTGGTCCAATGGGCAGCCCACACCCCCTCAAGGCCCTCTATGGAGCTCCCCATGTCCGCGCCCCCACTCACCGCTATGCTGACCTTCCCCAAGATCTCCTCGGGGATGCGCTTGGCCTCCTTCAGCACCTGGTCCAGGGAGCCCCCGTCCTAGGAAGGAGCAGGACAGGCTGAGCTGGGGCTGGAGCAGAGCTCCCCGCACCCCATCAGCCATCCCATGGGCAGAGAAAGCTCAAGGACAGCGGCCAAGGGAGCCCTGGGCACAGGGAGCCCAGGTGACCCACCTTCCCAGGTTGCCATGGCAGCCGCACCAGCCAGGCCCGCCCTGCAGCTGCAGGGGTGCAGGAGGCTCCATGGCCCCCACTCCTGTCCCACCCGCGCGAGCCAAGGACAAGAGGCGAGTGTGTCTCATGGCCGCAGGGAGGGAGACGGCGCCGTGGCCCTGGACTGCCCAGTAGCGGGGGCACCTGAGGCCCCTCTAGCCCGGGTGTCCGGCTGCAGCTCGGCTTTTAAGGGGGTTCAGAGAAGCTCTGGGCACAAGGGGGCGGTCTCCAGACTCGAGAGGGAGGTGGGGTGAGGTGGGGCGCACAGAGGAGGTGAGAGCCCCCGGCCCTGCACCCACCCGCCCACCCGATTCCCGCACCCATGCCGAGTTTTACATGGATGTTCTCTCGTTTGGGGATCACACCCAGCAGTGCCGGGGCCCCCACTCTCTCTCCCTGGGTCCCCCGCTCCCGCTGTGTGGACACGCAAGCTAGCCGGGCACTGTTTAGGCCCGGGGTTCACTCTTCCACTTCACTCTGGCCACACGGTGTAGGGGCCTCCCTGCAGTGCTGAAGGTTGGGGTCTGGCCAGTGCTGTCACAGGCCCCCTGAAACAAGGACGCCCTGACCTGCCCCCTCCCTGCCTTCCGGGAGTAGCACGGAGGGCCCCAGTACCCCACACTGAAGGGTCACTGCAGGGGGCTGTGTGGGGACCTGGGTGCCCGTCAGCACAGGGGGCTGTGAAAACTGCAGATGGCCCCTGGCTGTGCTGGGGTTCCCGTGGGGGGCACAGGGGTGACACAGAGATCTGCGGCCCAGGGGCTGAGAGGCCAGGGGAAGTTCAGTGGGGTGCTGTAGCCAGGATGTGGGGGTGGGGGTGTCAGTGGATCCCGCCCCTTCCCCCCACCTGAGATTTTCACTTTGCCTGAAGCAGCCACAGGCTGTCCCCCTCCCTCCTCTCCCCTCTGCAGCGACCTTATCCCAGATCCCTTCTGGGGTGACAGAGGTACCCAGGGACCCTGTCCTGCCCCCTTTGTGCTCATGGGCTCATCTCCGCTGTTCTGGGTGGGAGCACATGGTTCTTCCTGTTAGGGCCCAAGAACCTGAGGGGTCCACGCTGGGGTACCCACGAGTAGCGCCAAATCCCCCAAATCCCCCCAGTCTGCATCCCGACACCCACCAGCAGTGGCCAGTCCTTGAACCAGTCCCGCCTGCCCACCACAGCAAAGGCCCCACCCAAATGTCAAAACCCTGCCCCCAAGCACACAGCCCCATCCGGGAACTGTGCTCAGGGCTTACTCCGGGCTTATACAACACTGTGGTGCGCAGAGCCCCCCCCCCCCCCACTGCCTCATGGTGACACAGTGAATGCCTTTGACAGCTCCCCCCTCACTTGATGTCCCCCAAGCCTTCTGCCTTCCCAGTGGGAGCAACTGCACCTGACTGGTGTGGCCACAAGGTGACTCCACCTCCCCTGGATCCCTGCAGACCAGGAGGTTCAGTTCTGCATAGGGAAGGCCTGGCCCTGGGGGGGCTGGGGGGAGCTTGCCCCCTACATCTGCAGGAAAGACACCTCCCTGCGCCCAGGGTGCCCGGGAGGGAGAGGTGGGGGCAGAGTGCACGGTGGGGGGGCACATGGGAGGGGCCCCCTCAGACCAGAGGGTCCCTGACAGCTCCCCACAAGAAAAGGAGCTCCAGAGAGTCACTGCCCTAAGGCCCGGGCACCCTGGGGTCCTCTCTCTCCAATCTCCTTCCTGCCTATTTCCACACCATGGGGGTGGGGGGAGGGGCTTGGGGGAGACTAAAGGCAGCCACCAGTAGACCCCAAGGCATGGTCTTCCTGCTACCTGGCTTGTTCTTTTCTTTCTTTTTGGGTCACACCCGGCGATGCTCAGGGGTTTCTCCTGGCTCTGCACTCAGGAATTACCCCTGGCGGTGCTCAGGGGACCCCATTGAACCCGGGTTGGCCGCGTGCAAGGAAAATGCCCTACCCGCTGTACTATCACTCCAGCCCCTGCTGCCTGGTTTCGGAAGAGCCTTTGAGCGGGGTGTGTATGTGGGGGGGGGGGACTGCACTCCCACCCTCTGCCCGCCCCGCACCCACCATGTGCTCCATGCAGATGCTGATCTCGCCATCGCTGTAGAAGGCGCCGTAGAAGCCCACGATGTACGGCGAGTTGCACTCGTGCAGCACCTGCAGCTCCCGGATGATCTGGTTCCGGACGGCAGGCTTGATCTCCAGGTGGATCAGCTGGTCGGGGGGGGGGGGGGTGGTCGGGGTGAGTCAGGGCGGTGGCGAGGGCCTCCCCAGCCCCGGGAAGCAAGAGCCCGTGTCCACCGAGACTCGCGCCCACCTACCATGCCCATCTGGCACGGCGCCCACCCAGAACCCCACCCCGCATCTACCTGCAGCCACCCGACAGGGGAAGAAGGGCAGCGGGGGCCGGCCACCCTCTTTCCATTCTAGAAGCCCCCCTGGACCCCACCCCTGGGCTCCTGCCATGCGAGACTCATGTCCCCCTCCCCCCAGCCCTGGCCCCTGCTCGCGGGCCTCTCCCCAGAGTCCTGGTTGGGGAAGGGAGCGGGAGGTGCTGGCCTGCAGTGCTATGGACAGATGGACAGACAGACGGACACGCCCGGGGCCCGGCTGCCCGGGCATCCTGGAACTGGTCCTGTGGCTTCCCCGGCATGTCCTACTGGTTCCTGGCACGTCCTGCAGGTCTCCAGTCAGCCGCCCCAAGAGAGCACCGGGGCTGTCAGCCCAGGGGCGGGCGGGGCCTCAAGGGCCCCACCCTGCCAAGGCCGGTGACCTCGTCCGTGCAGCACGTCAGGAATTCCTACCTGGTGCCCGGGGAATCCAGAACCAGGGCCGGCCCAGTGGGGCGGTCCAGGCTGGAGACCTCTCCTCCATCTCTGCTCCCACTTTTTTATTATATATATATGCTTTTGTCTTTTCCAGCCGCACCAGCTGTGCTCAGGGATCGCTCCTGGTGGTGCTTGGGGGGACCCTACAGGGTGCCGGGATCTAACCCGGGTCAGCTGTGTGTAAGCAAGTGGCCTCCCCGTGGGACTCTTGGGAAATGGACGCCCAGAGGGAGGGGCAGGACCTAGTGGTCAGTCCCTCCCGACTGGACCCAGGCAGAGGCTGTGAGCCACAGCAGACCAGGGAGAGTGGCCCAGCTACAGCCCCTCCCTGTACCCTCCTCAGCCCCCAGTAGTTGGGACCCAGGACTTGGGGAACCGGAGCCAGGACTGCTGGAAAGCCCCCTCCCCAGCCCCCACCCGCTAGGGCCCCTGCCGTTTCTGCTCCCCTCCCACCAGCTCTCAGGTCTCCTCTTTCTGCACCCCCACTGCTCAGGGCAAGGCAGCCAGGGAGGTTTGCAGGGCAGCGGCGTCGCCGTCGCGGGGACAGAAATAGAAAGCTGGTGCTGGGTGGCAGGGGGGAGGCGGGCGGGGCCAAGCGAGCAGGAGGGAGCACTGCAGAGTCAGGCCCTACCCTGGGGAGCTGAGCGTGGTCCCGCCCATCCAGAGACTGGGGGAAGGGGCCCCGGTTTTCCCATTCAGGAACCTGAGGAGCTGCACGCCCAGAGAGGCTCCATCGCTTTCACCTGGCCGCCCCCCTTCCTCCCCAACACCACCAAGCGCTCACCCCGCCCCCACTGCTTCTCAGCAGCCTTGCATGCGCTGCCCCCGCATTAGGGGAAAGGCTGCCTGGTGTCAGAGCGTGCACGCGGGAGGGGCGGGCGACTGCTCCGGGGTTCCAAGTGGACAGACCAAGGTAAAGTGCCCCACGAAGCTGTTTTTCTTGGGGGCTGAGCGATAGGACAGCGGAGAGGGCACCTGCCTTGCACGCGCCGACTGAGGTTCAATCCCTGACACCCCGTAGGGTCCCCTGAGCCCCGGCAGGAGCGATCCCTGGGCGCAGAGCCGGGAGTCAGCCCTGAGCACTTGCCGGGTGTGGTCCCCAAGCCCCAAAACAATGAGAATCTGTCCGCAGAAGCCTCCCTGAGATGCGCCTCGCCCAATCAGCGGAAGTCTCGCGGGGCGAGGGGGCGGGGCTGAGCCCCAGCAGCCAATCAAGCGTGCAGAGGCCGGCCGGGCAAACCCAGCGCGCTGGCCCTCACCTTTCGGGCCATGATGAGCCCCGAGGGTCTGTGCTGGACCTTGGTGACCACGCCGCCATTGCCGGCCCCGAGCTCAGAGATCTTCTCGAAGTCGTCATCTTTGAGCTCCCCGACCTTGGCCTTCTGGGTGAGGAAGGCTTCCAGGCGCTTCTTCTGCTGCTCATCGAGTTCGAGCTCCTCGAGCTTCTTCTGCAGGTCCACCAGGTTCGCTCTGCGGGAAGCCGAGGGCGAGGATGGGGGAAGGCAGGCAAGGGCTGCCCAGTCAGGGTTCCGGAGGCGGCCGCCTGGCAGAGGGGCCAGGCAGGACCAGGGCTGGGGCCCACAGCCTCCTTCCCCCCCCCCCCCCCCCCCCGCCCTTTCCTGTTGTCAGGACCCTAGAATGCGTAGGAAGAGGCAAGTCAGGGGCACAGGGAGGAGGTCAGAGGGGGTGCAGGGAGGAGATCAGACAGGGTGCCTGGAAGAAGGAAGACAGGGATGTAGAGGGGAGGTTAGAGAGGGATGTAGGGGGTGCAGGGGCGAGGCCAGAGGGGGTGTCAGAGGGAGGCCAAACAGGTGCAGGGAGGAGGCTCAGGCAGGGGTATGGGCAGACGTCAGACAGGGGTGCCAGGTGGGGGGGGTCAGACTGCGGTGCGGGCAGACAAGGCCCAGGCCACCTCTCTCCAGTGCAGGCCGCGGCACAGGCCCACGTTGCTGAGCAGTGGTGGGGCTGGCTGGCCGGGTGGTAGGAGCCCAGGAGCCCCAGCCGTGGCCAGCCAGGAAGTTCCGCAGAGGCCCGGCCCGAGGGCGGGGCCCTACCTAAGCTCCAGGCAATTCGGGCTTTACCGTAAATACAGTAGGTGACCCGCATCTGCCACCGTCAGTAAAGCCCCGGACAGGTGCACTGCATTTTGATAAGGGGGCGGAAAGGGGGCGATTCGAGGGGCTATTTTTTACCCACCCCTGCCCGCTCAGGGAATCAAACACAGGAACAGGGCGGGCCACCTGAGAGAGACCCTGGCACTTAGAGTCCCACCTACAAACTTAAGCTCCAGGCCAGCTTTCGACTGCCTACAGAGCACCCCCCCCCCCCCCCCCCCCCCCCGCCCATGCCCAGAGGTCCAGGGGTTCTGACAAGCAGAGCCAAAGCCCGGGGAACTCACAAACACATCAGCATAAACGAGCCAGCCAACACGGGCTTGCCCCCACCCCGGCTCTGACTTGTGGCCCTGACTTGTGGCCGGTGTGAAAGAGGGGGTGTAGCCCTGAATTTGGCCGGCTGAGGGCAGAGAGGGGAAGTGGGAGGGGGTGTGGCTCTGAGCAAAATCTGAGAACAGGCCCCCCACCCCACTGGCTCCCAGGCGGCTAAGCTGGGCTGGCAGCTGCGGGGCACCTCGCAGATTGCATGCAAGCAGGGGGTGAAGAGAGGGGAGGGAGGGGATCCCCACCACCTGCCCTATCTCCTGCCCGACCCCTATTCCCTACAAGAGAGTGTAAAGGGATGCCAGGCCAGAGGGAGATCCCCCATGGGGCAAAGCCTGAGCTGTCACCCTTGATTTCAGAGGTGCCCTAAGCTGGGGTTGGAGGGGGGGGCACGGAGGGGGGCACAGGTGGGAGAAAGGGAGGGAATCCACCGTGCATAAGTGGAGGGGGTGCAGTCTCTTGGAAGGTGGGGCCCCTATGCCCACACCCTCCCGGAGACGGGGGTTTCCTCCTGGAGGAGGAATCAGCTCCCCAAGGAATGGGCGTCTCCAAGCACAAAGAGAGAATCAGGGTGCCCTCGAAAAGTGGGGAAGGGGTTCTGAGAAAAACCCCACTTCCCAAGCTGCCAGCTCCCAAATCCGGGGGTGAGGGGGGACACACATGGAGCTCCGTCCCGGGCCGCTGGGGCAGCCGGAGCAGGAAGCCATGGGGAACCATTCTGGGGCGCAGGGCTCACCCCGGCGGGAGCTCCCGGGTGCGGTTCTGCCACAACGAACACCGGCGCTGCGCTGTCCCCACCCGGATCCTCACCCGCTCTCCGGGGCTGCGGGCGGGGGTCCGTCATCTGCAGTCCCGCCCGGCACCCTGCCTCTTCTCCTCGGCTGGGCCGCCCCCAAGCCATCTTCTCAAGTCCTGAGGACCCCCCATACCTCACGGATCCCCAGCCTTGCTCCAGAGACCCCCCAGGTCCATCTCACTTCCTAGAGCCCCTCCTCGCAGACCCTGCAACTAGTGTGTCCCGCCCCGCTCCTCCCGCGACCCCTTCCTGGGGCCCTCGCTCCCGTCTCTGCAAGAAACCCCGTTCTTGCTCCGGCGCAACCACCCCCCCCCGGCCGCCCCCGACCCATCCCTGGTGCCCACCGAGCGGGGCCACGCCCCACCTCCTTCCTCCAGGGCCCTCCCGGCACCGATCTCTGCCCCGAAGCCTCTCTGCCCTCTTCCTCCTCGCCAGCTGGGACCCTCCGCGCCTCCCCTCGCCGTCCGGGGCGACCCCCGCCCAGCCCGTCCTTCGCCCCCGGGACGTGCCCCAGCCCACCCCACTCACTCGGAGGCGCCCTCGCTGGTGGGGGACGGGCCCTCGGCGATGGCGGTGTTGATGGTGAGCGCCGGCAGCACCGGCTTCCTCCGGGCCAGCATCGAGGCTCCGCGGGCCTGCGGCGGCGGCGGCGCCTCTAGCCGGGGCCCATAGGGGGCGGGCCGGGGAGCGGGCGGCGCCGATGCGAGCCCGGGGCTGCAGCCGCGGCCTAGGCGGGCGCCGGCGGGGCGGGGGCGGGCGGCGCCGCACGCGGGGGCCGAGGGGCGCCGCGGGGCTCGGGCGCTCGGGAGCTGCTGCTGCTGCTGCTGCCGCCGCCGCCGCCGCCGCCGAGGCCCGAGCGAGGCTGACGCTGCAGCGGGGCGCCCGGGAGGCCGGGCGGGGAGGGGAGGGCAGCGGCGAGATCGCGCGCGCCGCTCTCGCGAGAACCCGCGCCCGCCCCGCCCGCCGGCCGCGGCGCCTGCGGAAGAGCCCCACGCCGCTCCCCCCCCCCCCCCCCCCCGGGGCTGGGAAAAAGGGGCGGGGTCGGCGGCGGGGCGCGTGCGCGCGGGCTCGCTCTCCGGCGCGTGTGCACTGGGCGCTGGGGGCGCCCGCTAAGCTCGGTGGGGTGGTGAGCGTGCGCTTGGGGCAGCGAAGTGGCCGGAGCCCACAGAGCCCTGTGAGTGCCACGCGCGGACGTGACCAGCTGGCAAGGGGGAAAAAGAATCCCCTAAAGTTGAGGGGAGGGGGTCGCGCAGAGCCGGCTATTTCTTCTAGCTACAGGCGCAGAGCCGCCGCGGTTTTCCTCTTTTCTAAGAATGATCCCCCGCTTTCGGAAAGGGGCCTTCGAAGACTTCCCCACTGCAGACAACCTAGATCACTTAACATCCTCCTTAAGTGTAGCCCAGCAAACGCATGATCAGCCCCACGAAGCCCATTCACAGGGTCCTGCGACCCTCCCCATCATCATTCTCCTCTTCCCGGTACAGGAACCGACCCCAAGAAACAACCTTTCCTCTCCCCCGCAAACCCCCACCCCCCCACCGCCCCAACTACTTCCTATTTCTACGGCGGGGACTGGAGCGGGGAGGAGGGGGGAGCAGCGGGGAGGAGGGGGGAGCGTCACCCAGGATGTCTCCCGCTGGATTAGGCTCCTGCATCAGACCTCATGACCTCACGCATTCACCTTTAGTAAATGTCATTGTTTCCTTCCTTGAAAAGACGTTCAAGAAAAAACTAAATAAAAAATGAAAAACGTTTAAGGACCCAGCGAGCCGGGAGGGTGCTTGCCTTGCACGCAGTTGACCCGGGTTCAATCCCCAGCATCGCATAGGATCCTCTGAGCGCACCACGAGTAATTCCTGAGTGCAGAGCCAAGAGTAACTCCTGAGCACCGCCGGGTGTCGCCCACCCCTCGTCAAAAATACCCCACTTTTAAATAGGGGTTTTCCAAGGGATGCGGGTGTAGGGTTGTCACGCCTGATGTTTGTCACCGTGGTTGCTTGTGATTTCCAGCTTCTGGGGCCTCCAAAACTCTTCAGATAGCACAACTGGTAGGGCGTTTTGCCTTGCACACGGCCAACCTGGGTTCGATTCCCAGCATCCCATATGGTCCCTGAGCACCGCCAGGAGTAATTCCTGAGTGCAGAGCCAGGAGAAGGCCCTGTGCATCGCTGGGTGTGACCCAAAAAAGCAAAAAAAAAAAAAAAAAAAGCTCTTCTTTAAACCATAAGGTGCCTGGGATTGAGCCAAAGGACTCAAGCACGAAGATACGCTCTCCACCCATTTGAACCCTCCCCAGCCCCGTTTCCTTCCTTATTATTTGTTTATTGTGGGTGGGGCATACCTGGCACCGTTGTGGGGGCCTGTATGCTGTGCTGGGTGTCTGGAAAATCTGAGGCTCTGCTATGTTGGGTGACAGCTTCTTGCACTGTCTCCCCAGCCAAGGCAAAGTATTGTCATGGGAGAAAAATCAACTTCCTGAAAAACTGGACATTTTCCTGTTGGTGGGTCAGACATTCATGGCCCAGGGCTGCACCTCCGGGAACCATGTGGGAAGAAATAAGACTTGCTAGGGGGGCGGAGAGATAGTACAGTGGGTAGGGAGCACCTCATATGGCCCCCTGAGCACTGCCAGTAGTGATTTCTGGGCACGGAGCAAGGAACAATCTTTGAGCAACTCTGGGTGTGGTCCCAAAACGAGAGGGGGGGGGAGAGAGGAGGGGGAAGAGAGATAGAGAGAAAGGAGAGAGAAAGTGGAGAGAGAGAAACTTACTAGCAGAGAGAAAGAAACTTACTAGCACTTGGGTCCAAATCCCTCTTCCTGCTTCTCCCTGACCTCCCGGGTTCAGTCCTAACCCACTTCCTGTCCTGAGGTCCCTCACACGTTCTTGTAACAATTTGCAAGGTGCTAGATACCTTGTTGCACGTGGGGACATAATGTTGCAAAAATAATGTTATATAGCATATATACATATAATTGCATAAAGATAAGGTGCAAAACTGCAAACTTGTAACCACCAACTCTGGCCAGGAAGATGGAAACACCTCTTCCTGGCCAGCAGGTGTGTCAAGGGGTATGGCCCTGGAGTGGCAGGTGCAAGACCCTGAATTAGATCCTTGATACCGCATGCCCCGCCCCTGCTCCAGCACCGCCGCTGGGAGTGGACTCAATGGCGCCCCCACCTGGACTCTTCCAGGTATGGTCCCCAGCGGCAGTAATAAAACTGCGATGTTGACTTGTAACGGACCTCAGCTAAACAGGGTTCTGGAATGTGCAGCAACTTGAGCTTGTCCACGGGAGCAGTGGCGAAAGGCAGCTCTGGCGTGTGGTCTTCGGTCTGCATGTCCTTTGTCGTTTAATCCCCGGCTCCAACCAGCAGGGGTTTGCTTGCTGGTTGATATTTAACCAGGAGTTGAGTTGTTTATTGGAGTGTGTGTGTGGAGAGAGAGAGAGAGAGAGAGAGAGAGAGAGAGAGAGAGAGAGAGAGAGAGAGAGAGAGAGAGAAAGAGAGAGAGAGACTTGTGCTTTACAGCTATTTCGACCGTATAAATATTCCCCTCATCCTCATTCCAGCGACCTAAAAGCGATTCAGGAATGACGGTTGGAGCCAGACTGGCCAAAGCCTGTCGCTAACCCAAGAGCCACCTGGAATCTGAAGGTTTATTCCCGTAGATTTCATTTTGAATGTCATAGGCGTTTCCTTGATGGCAGTAGGATGGTGGGTGCTCTCTCTGGCATCTGGCTACTTTTGTTTGTTTGCATGGTTTTCTGTTTTGTTTGGGGGCCACACCCAGAGGTACTCAGGGGTAACTCTTGGCTCTGCACTCAGAAATCACTTCTGGCGGTGCTTAGGGGACCCTATGGGATGCGGGGAATTGAACACGGGTCGGCATCATGCAAGGCCAGCCCCCTCCCACTGTCCCATCACTCAGGCCCATTTTCCTTGTGTGAAATTTGTGAGTTGCAGCCCTGTGGATTCCTTCCTACTGGCTGCATGCTAACTGTTGTGTGCACTGTTGGAGAATTGCACAGGATCTCCCATCTTACTGAGGAGGACTGACGGGGGAAGCTTTATTTTGCTGGGGGGGCACCCCTAGCTGGGATCTACACACAGGGATCACTGCTGGCAGGAGTCAGTGGGACCCTGTGGGGTACCAAGGATTGAATCCAGGTGCGCTGCATGCCCAGCAAGCACCTTCCCTGCTGTACTGTCTCTTCAACAGCCCCTCAATTCATTTCTTTCTTTTTAAGTTGTATTTTCTGGGCCCCACCAGGTAGTGCTCATACCTGGCTCTGTGCTCAGGGATCACTTCCTATGGGGCTCAGGAGACCCTATGGGATGCTAGGTATCAAACCTGCTGTGCTATTACACTGGCCCTTTTGTTTTCCTTTCTTTCTTTCTTTCTTTCTTTAATTAAAAAAAAGTCTCTTGCCCCTGCCACTGCTGTCTTCAATGGGGCCCCTCAGAAGGGGGTGAGCTGAGTTCCCCCCCCCCCCCGCCCTGAGCAGAGCCCCAGCAGCTGAAAAGACCTCCGGAACCCAGCCACACCCATACTCAAGGCCACTCTCCACACCCTTGGAAGAGCCTCATGCATGACAGAACTGGCAGTGGAACCCAGGTGTGCGGTACCTGGGGCTAAGATCTCCAAGCCTACTCGGGTCGGGACTGGGCCTCCCCCACCCAGATCCCCCATTTTCCAGTAGCTAGGCAGTCACACCCACAAACTGCTCCTGGCTCATGTAATCCCATCAATGGCCAAGAGTTAGAGACTATAAAACCAAGCTCCCGGAAGCAAATGCGGCTGTGCGACATTTTATTGTCTAGTTCTCCCACTCGGAGAACCCGGCAAGCTACCAAGAGTATCCTGCCCGCATGGCAGAGCCTGGCAAGCTCCCAATGGCATATTCGATATGCCAAACACAGTATCAATGATGGGGCTCATTCCTCTGACCCTGAAAGAGCCTCTAATATGGCACTGTTGGGAAGGACGAGTAAAGAGAGGCTGCTAAAATCTCAGGCGAGGACAAATGAATATGTTACTGGGCCTGCTCGAGAGCAAATTGATGAACAATGGGATGTTAGTGATACAGTGAAAAAAAAGTGATAGTATGGGGCTGGAGCAATAGAATAGCGGGGAGAGTGTTTGCCTCGTATGCGGCTGACCTCAGTTCAATCCCAGGCATCACATATGGTCCCCCAGCACCGCCAGGAGTTATTCCTGAGTACAGAGCCAGGAGGAACCTCTGAGCATTGCCGGGTGTGGCCTAAAAACTAAAAAAAAAAGAAAAAAGTCATAATGTTTATTTATTTTTGCTTTTTGGGTCACACCCAGCTATGCTCAGGGGTTACTCCTGGCTCTGCACTCAGGAATTGCTCCTGGTGGTGCTTGGGGGACCTTAAGGGATACCGGGGATTGAACCTGGTTCAGCCACATGTAAGGCTCTACCTGCTCCAGCCCTCTTTTTTTTTTTTTTTGAGTTTTGGTTTCTTTGGGGGCATGCCGGACTGTATTCAGGACTGACTTCTGGCTCTTTGCTCAGGGATCACTCACTTTTGGTGGGCTCAGAGAACCTGTGGAGTGGCAGGGATTGAACCCCAATCAGCCATGTGCAAGGCGAATATCCTACCCCCTGTACTCTCTCTGCGCCTCCCTTTTTTGTCCACTCCTGGTGGTGCTCATGATTAACTCCTCATGGTGCTCTGGGGGCCGTATGGGGTGCCAGGGATTGAACCCAGGTCGGCAGCATGCAAGGCAGACCCCCTTGCCACTGTTCTATCGCTCCAGCCAGCCCCTCTCTGCCCTTTTATGCT